CTCCGTTCATGTAGTATGCCTGACGCATCACCTTGCGCATTTTAGGGCTGACAGTAAGTTCTTCGGCGAACATCGACTTAGCAGCTTTGAGAACATGCGAGCTGTTGGAAAAGTCGTTGTCGACAAACTGATCTGCCAACTCTTCGGGCTGCTCAGTGGGATCTTCAGTGTATTGCCGGCGGCCTTCCTTGGAGGCATTCTGAGCAAACGCATCTGCAGTGATGCCAAAAGCACGTACGAAGCCATAAGCCTTGCCGTTCCGAACCCGCTCAAAGAAAGACCTGCCAGTGGCTTTTCGGCGTTGTGTTTCCCCAGTAGCCTCGCCATTGACCTGATTGAGATCCCGCAGTTGTGAGGAATACTGGAAATGGATATAGTCCTGCACATCTTGGAGTTCCTCCATGGTTGCGGCCAAAGCAAGTTGATCCTCGACGTTGGAATCATCCACGTTGAAGAGACTTTGCAGGTTGTCGTATGTCTTTTGAATTGTACCACGCTTGTCAACCAAAGCGCGGAATTTGAGATCATGATCGAAGATATCCCATAGATCAGTCATATTGAGGAGTTTCTCGGCGCGGATGCTGTATTGGGCGGAGTCATCGTCGGGATCGGCGCCATTGGCCATATCTTTGACAGCATGAATCATGTAGTCCTTGCGATGCTGGAAAATGAAGGGTACTTCCCAATCGTCCGTGATTAGGAATTCCAACATTTTGGCAACAGAGCGCTGGAATGGTTCGTGCAATTCCGGATCCATGCGCTTCTTGAGCAACATCAAGTTTGCGATCCAGGCTGCCTCCTCCCGGAATTGCGCCTCGGACAATGCCACATGCTTGTAGGGCTTGCGAGCAACCTGATGGCGTTCGGGTTCGTCTAGGAGACGAATTTCGTTATCATCCTCCGTCAACATTCTCTCGGCCAGCTCTGATGGCTCAAAGACATCCTTCAAGTCTAGATGACGTTCTTCGGTTTGTTTGTCTGCGTCCTCTTGGTCTTCCATTTGTAGTGCGAAATCGTACTCTGTGCCATCACCGAATGCAGCGCGCATATCATCGAGTGCGTTTTCATCCAAGCCCGAGGTATCAGTCGGAATCAAGCCGGTCTTGTTGACTCTGGAGGCAGGCGCAACCCCAAGGTCATCCCTTTCGCGCTGGGCCTCGTCGTCGGAGAAAGTATCCTCTTCAATAAAGTCGTCCATCTCATCGCGCAGACCGCGGCGCTGACCTGGTCTAGCATATTGTTGCGCTTCCTCCTCTTCGTCCGAGTTGAAAATATCGTCGACGCCTTGAGACGGTTGGTGGCTCTCGCGGTCCTTGCCTCGCTTCAAGCGCTTAAACTTTGACTATTATCGGAGCGTCAGAATCTTGTCAAATGATGATCTGTAGCGTACATACCTCAGTGGCTGGCCCACGTTGTTGACTTGGACCATGTCCAATGAGTTCCAGATCTTCTTCATCAAGGTGCTCTTCGCGAGCAGCGCGCGGACGTTTCCTGTGTTTGCGAGCGACACGTTCGTCTTCTTCGTCCTCATCGACAATGAAACCTTCACGGACCTAAAAAATTTCGTCAGTAAAAAGAGAGAAACAGTCTAGTGGACGGTCGAAACTTACGGCGCGAGCAGCCTCCTCGTCATCTTCTTCTTCGTCTTCCTCCTCGCTCGAGTCATTGTAGTGATTGGTAGTACCTGCGCCCTGGCGGCCCTCGGCATCATAGTCATCGGCGACTTCCTCATCTTCGTCATCCATGACCGCCTCACCCTCGATCAGGTCGCGAAGGCTCATCTTGAAGTAATGATCCCTATTGCTAGGGACCGAGGAGAATGCGGTGACGGATGGAAAAATTCAAGATACTACTTCGCAAATGTGACACCAGGTAGTGCCCAGCTCGTTAAGACGGTCGAAAGTAAATCAGGGAGGGTGAAATTGAAGTAATAGTTGTCAAGAGGAAGAATCACGACCATCGGCGAGGAGAGGATGCGGGTGGCAGTGATTGGCTAATGCTAGTGTGGCTAGACGCTAGTCCTATTGTGGTAACCTAATTGTGGCTTGTCAAGTTCATGTCACGTGTGTTGATGCCTTTGTGTGTGTGTGTACGATCGTGCATTGTACATTCAACGATGCCCTGGTCGGATCCTTAATATGTGCATATATCACTTTGTACTATTGATGTAAGGTCGAGACTATCGAATATACCCGAGTTTGAACATTATCAATCCATCTCATTTACCCATAAACCCCGTTGCGTAAATCCAACCAGTGCCCAAAGCTAGCCTAAAAGACTGGTGGAACCCCCAGAAACACCTATTGTTTCAATGATTATAGTGGCTTTCTCAGTTCTTGAAGATCATCTCTCATTTTCTCCCTCTCATATTACCTATAAAAAAAATCCAACGTACTTCTGTTTGGCGCCGACCGGCACATTTTTGGTAATTTTTGGTCAAATCGATCAAATCGACGCGCCCGCAAGGTCCAATCAGCGTCGCCAAGAACATCGCAAGGTGATATCGACTTCCCCGCTGTTAGCTCGGGGGTTCGTTCTGACCACTCTGATCCCATCGGCTTGGGTAACGCGGACTTGATATCACTCAGGGCGACTGGGCTCTTCGTTTTCTTTTCTTTCACAACTTTCCCCTTGTGCAACTCCAACCCCCTCCAAGCCGCCATGACGGACCCGTTCCAGGCTCGGACATTGAAACGCAAGAATGTCAAAGGTCTTGCTCTCAATGCAGCCCCTAAACCCACCTCCAATCCTACCGATGGTGATGCACAAGCCCCTGGACCTGTTGGGAATAGCGAAGTCAACAATACAGATACGCTCGAAATCGGCCTGGAGTTTCGCCTCGATCTTCGCAGTGAAGACCTGGTCACATTGAAGGAACTCGGCGCTGGAAATGGAGGTACTGTTTCTAAAGTGATGCACGCATCCACAAAGGTGGTGATGGCTCGAAAGGTGTGTGTTGTGTATTGTGTGTTTCTGCTTTGTTGGCCAACTCTAATTTCCTCGTCCCCCCGCAGATTATCCGTGTGGAGGCCAAAGAGAACGTACGGAAACAAATTCTACGAGAACTTCGAGTCGGACATGACTGCAACTGTCCAAATATTGTCACTTTCTATGGTGCATTCCAAAACGAAGCGAGAGATATTGTACTATGCATGGAATATATGGATCTTGGGTAGGTGGACTCATCTGGAAAAAAACAAAGAGGATATAGCTGACGGGCAATTAGATCTCTCGACCGCGTTTCTAAAGATTTCGGCCCTGTTCGAGTCGATGTGCTGGGGAAGATCACCGAGTCCGTCTTGGCCGGTCTTGTCTACTTATATGAAGCCCACCGCATCATGCATCGTGATATCAAGCCGTCTAATATCTTGCTGAACTCCCGCGGCAACATCAAGCTCTGTGACTTTGGTGTTGCTACCGAGACAGTTAACTCGATTGCCGATACATTCGTTGGCACTTCCACATACATGGCTCCCGAGCGAATTCAGGGAGGCGCCTATACGGTCCGTTCCGACGTGTGGAGCGTGGGCTTGACGGTCATGGAGCTGGCCGTTGGAAAATTCCCCTTCGATCACTCCGATTCTGCTGCCGGAAACCGTGCTAGTGCAGGGCCGATGGGGATTCTGGATCTACTCCAGCAAATTGTGCATGAAACGGCGCCCAAGCTACCCAAGAGTGATGCCTTCCCACCTATCCTACATGACTTTGTTGGGAAGTGTCTCTTGAAGAAATCCGAGGAGCGCCCAACACCACGAGAGCTTTATGTATGTTGATCTCTCATTTTGGCCTGCAGCTCTTTTTCACGTGTACTAACTCCTTTCAGGACAAAGATGCCTTCTTGCAGGCCGCGAAGCGTACACCAGTCAACCTCGAAGGATGGGCAACGAGCATGATGGACCAAGAAAAGCGCAAGTCCTACTTGGGACCACCAATACCAACATCACTCCCTAGAGAGGCCTCGACATCAACCTCAAAACCGACATCATCTCCCGCCGCAGCTCCCACATCAACCAATATCAGCAAGCCCCCTGTCATCAGCAAGCCAACGCGGACCCCACAGCAGTCACCATTCCCTTCAAATCCAGTATCAGGCGATATCCCTCTAAGAATCGCCAACGAGGTCCCATCCAGTCACCGTCACTACCCGCAGTCCCAACCCCAGCCCCAGCCTCAATACTACTCATCGTCCTCATCCCGAGCCACGCGTTCTCCGCCACCCCCCTCTCTGGAGCACCTCTCGCTGGAAGCAAACGACGAAAACAGCCGATCCGGTCGTCGCGCGATGCGTCAGCACCTCAACGAGCCCGTTTCTGCTATCGATGCCTCATCTCGCCCATTCATGAGCCCCCGCTCCGCCAGCTCCAACAACTCCAATCCCCGCACGAACCTGCACGCCACGACGATGCCCATCCGCACTGCGCCTCCGAACGGCCCGCCTCCCGCGCCACCTGTTTCAACAGGCGGAAACTGGCGCATCCAACCAGGAACTACGCCTCGGTAATATGGTGATGTAGTTAATGTACTCGGATATGTCATATTTATGTTCTAGACAAACGTGCATATACAGACGAAAAGCCCATCCAGTACGGTCTCGGCTTTGGTGAATATGCTATCTCCTTGATGTGTGTTGTTCTGTTTATTGTGTACTCATGGCGCTCTTTATGGAACAAAAGGAGGAGCCAAGACAAGCTGCCCTAACAGCACTTTCTTTTTCTTCCGTCTATGAGTATCTCACTCTATTTTTCTATTTTCTCCTTCTTCACTTCTTATTCAATGACTCTGCTTTGATTGAAATATATCTGGCAACGAACCCTTATTTTGTTCATTTCTGACTCTGTCTTTATGTGCTGGGATGTCTTCCTGCATTACACGGCGTACATAAATACTTGCAATTTCATACTCTTTCAGCCCCTGGTAGAAACATCTAGATATGCGTCCCTTCAATATAACTTTCCAATAAAGCACCATGTACCAATCAATCTAAATTTCAGATTCCACACTTACCCAACGTGTGGGATATTCGCTGTCCAGGTACCTATAAACGCGCCTGGAGGAAGAAAAGCCAATGAGCGAACGACCTCGACTGTCATAAATAGTCTTGCCAGAATAAACACGACCACGATGAGGATCAACAAAGAGCCCTCGACGAATTCTAGTATCCTTGGCCGGCTTTCCAGTTTAAACACCTTCAACCAAATTGGATCCGAGATCAGATAGGCAAATGGCAAGGCAACAGCCGTTACAACCGAGCTCAGACGCCACAGTAGTCTCTCTGCGGCTGTAGGGAAGTCAAAGTTCCATGCTACGCAGTGGGTGGCACCAAACGCAAAGAAATACGCCAGGCTCATCACGTACCCTGGCACTTTCCTTATGGCATCTCTGTGCATGGCGTCATTGGGGATCCAGATGTTGGATTTGAAAACATTACCCACCGGGCCAGCATTGGCCATGTAGATCAAGTCTTCTGCGGAGGGATATCTGGCAGCTTTGATGGTATATGACGTCCGGACATCTTGGGGCTTATCGATCAACATGATATAAGTGATAGAGGAGCAAATTGCGAAAGATAGGGTAAAAATCTCGAGCTGGCTTGTTGGGAGATTTCGGCCTAGTCTTACGCCGAGTTGAATGAACATCCACGAGATCTGAAGCAATGCCAAGAGCTTGACGACGATATCACCATTGTTATGGTCATCCAGGGAATCCTGCGACATGTAGGGCAATTTGTCGATGATACCACGCTCACGGGCAAGGAGAAGCTGGTTCGCATCTACCACCCACAGATTGCCACAAAGAAGAGTGAGGTTTCCAACCCAATTCGTGTATGACATGTTGAGGATCGTTTCTTTCTTTAGGTAGCCTTGAGAAACTATGCTGTTTGCTTTTTCGATGGCAAGGATGTTGGATCTATCCAATGCCCAGTCAACTTTGCCAATCGCATTCGAGATCTTCTGCATTGATCTCTGAAGTATCTGTGGGGTTCGTATTCCATCCGGAAGATCTTTTATAGAAGGTATCTCTTGAGTACCGGCGGTAGCATCAGGATCGGCAAACTGAATAGGGAATCCACCCATATTGGCGTAGTGTATATGGGAGTCGGACCATGGGACGCCATCTCTATCCTGAATCTCTGCAAATCGGGCCTTGAGCATCCTAACAGAGGACACATCACTGTAGGCCCTCCCGAATGCCCACTCTGGGGCGATAATGTTGATCACCATCCATTTGAGCTTGCTGGAAAACCGCCAAAGCGTTCGCAGATATTTTTGGCGTTTTGTGAATGGTGTCGACTGGATTGGGACATTGAGATGGAGAATGGACCAAGTGCAAAGACTTATCACGCTGACGCAAGACCAAACAATATCCAAAGCCCCTCGAGCACTCGGCGAGGAAACAAATCCTGTCGTATCTGGAGGATAGGTACAATTGGTGTGAAATATCTGCATTCTGCTAATGGGCTCTCGAGTCAAAGGGGGAGCGCTATTTTGATATTTCGCGGGGGTCTCTGTATAAGACCAAAGTAGTATGGGCGCATCAAATAGTTCAGCCCGTTCAACTAACCATTCTGGACAGCGCATAGCATGGCTTCTTTTGTTCTTTGTACTTATTGGTTAACTCAATAGTGCTGGGGGGGGCTATGTAAAGGATGGGGGCGAAGTCTACATATAACACATAAGAAATATAAATATAGAACAAGATGGGTAAATACGTACATTGTTAAAGACCAATCCTTGTACGTCTCATATGTAGAACGTTTATTAGGCACCTGTGTACTTCATGAACTATACAATCTGGTTAGTTCATGGGCTACTATATATCACATATTGGTTGTGTTATAGAAAGAATCAACAGCTAAATAGCTAACAGCACAACAGACTCAATAGCCGAGGCGGCCGATGATAGCGTAGTATTGTCTACAATATTTCATTAGAAGAATATTGAATGACTGGCTGAAAACTGATATATCCAGCCATAACGACATGACCGAGGTATACATAAAGAGCTCATGTGTTGATAAAGCAAGCGGCTTCTCGAGACCGACAAAAAAAATACAACAGACGCAAACAAAACCGACGAGCAAAATGATAGCGCAAATGAATAAGCAAAACAAAGTCATAAAGCTCTTCTGAACACCAAACGAACCCCCACAACAAATCAGTCAACATGTTCTCTATTTCATCATGAGCTCTGGACCAGCTAGCGGGCTAGGAGCAGGAGGTCCATGGACAACACTCGGGGTCGATGGCGCAGGAGCAAGGTCTGGCATAGGGATTGATACAGACGACTTTCCACCCCGAGTGCTGTTAGTCCCGCCACGGCCAGAGGTCCCAGTGCCACCACCACGGCCACCACGGCTTTCAGGGGTAGCGGATGCAGTGGTAGCAGCACGGTCGCTGCCGCTATCGGCCTTCTTGTTGCCTCGCGGACGGCGTGAGGTGCCACCTCGAGAGCCGGGTCCACGCAATGGAAGGCCAGTATCTTGGGAGACGGGCACGGCAGCTGCAATAGGAACGTGTGGGTGCGAAGTCACGGTCCGACTCCGACCCGTTCCTCGCCCACGGCCACGGCCACGTTTGATTGTACCGTCGGCGCTGCAGATAATTAGTAAATTTGGAGTAAGAAGGTAGGAAGTAGACATACCGTTCCACCTGGACCTTTTCTCCCTCCGGAACCAGTGGCCCACTGTAGACAAAGAACCCATCCTTGCTGGCAGCAGCCTGCTCCTGCCACACCATTTCGGTATCATCCACAAATGGATCATCACGGTCATATTCCTCGACCTTCTTGCGTCGCTTTTTCTTCCCATCGCTAGCCTCCGAGGGCGCACCGTTGGTTCCCGTACCAGTACCGCCCATGGGAACATCGCCATCCATATCACTATCACGTTCCGCATCGAGGCTCAGGTCCTCGTCAGCACTCTCGCCGGCAGATATTCCTTTGGCATTTTTATCATTTCGTTCCAACGCGGCCCCGGCAGCTGCCACACGAGCCATGCGTGCCTTGTGCGCGGCCAGACGAGGGTGCAAGGCAGCGAAGCCATATTGTTCTTCCGCAAGCCGTGCAAAGTTGACAATCTGGTTGCCCTTCTGTAGCGGAACATGAACGATGATGCTGGGTGTACCACGCGAGTCAGGCGACTTTGCAGAATCATCGCCTCCGCCGAACAGCGCGTTTGTGATCAAGCCAGATCCCTGGGGCAGATGAGGGGCTTCTTTCGCAGGTCGAGCTGGCTTGGGGGATGAGGCCTTTGATGCCGGTGCAGTAGTTGTACTCTTTTCCTTTTTGGCGCTGGACGCAGAATTCTCTGTGTGGTCCATTTCCATTGATTCAACTGGTTGCTGTCTAGGCGGAGTCGGCTGCCCAGCGGGTTCGGGTTGCGCTGGAGGTTGAGGTTGGCGCACCGCCGGCGGAGACGGTTCGAGCTTAGGGGTTTGTGACGGCGGCGGCCGCGGCTCGGTAGGTGGGTATGGGGTGGTGTATGGGGTGGACTGCGACATGGCCTGCGGAATATGCATGGCTCCACGGGAAGCAGAGGAAATGGGAAGGGGCGATGGTGCTAAGGACGGATGTGAGGGTGTGGAAACCATCGCAGGCGGCGCCGGCGAAGACAAGCCGGACACATGGCCGGAGGAGGAGCGTTGAAGCGTGTTGTATATTGGTTGAGAGTTCTGAGCTGGTGGGTCGATGATGCTTGAGATCGCTGGCGATGCACTGGCACGATAACCATTGCGAGGGGAGATTGCGCGAGCGGGAGGACTATATGATGGTGCTGGAGATGGATTGTCAAACGCAGAACGAATAGGATCGAAGTTTTGTCCGCTAGTTCGTTGAGGTGGTGGTTGCGGCACTGGAGGTTGCGATTGCGGTTGTTGACGAGAAGGTTGCGACAGCTGATACGAAGCTCCTGGAACTGTAGGGGGGTGTGAATTTGAGTATGAAGTTGGAGTAGACTGGGGAGGTTGAGGCTGAGGAGGTTGAGTTTGAGCGGGCTGAGGTAGAGCGGGTTGAGCAGGTTGGGGCGTTGCAGGGGCGTGTGGAGGGCTTCGGGCGTCTACTGGAACCCTCGTTTCCTCTGGCGCAGGTTCTAGCTTGGGCTTTTTCCGGGAAGCAGTTGTGTTTGATTTCTCCCGTGGACGACGAGGAGCCCGTGCCGGTTTTTCTTTGACCTCTTTTGTTTCCTTCTCCTTCTTCTTGGTGTCAGGGTCGTCATCCTTCTTACGACGCGACCGCCTGGCGGTACCGGAGGCACGTCGGGCGCCTGTGTCGGGTTTGACATCAGCGCCAATAGACTCTTCTTCTTTAGGTATCCCCATACTAGGAGGATCCGACATGATTTGACAATATCACAATCAATAAACTAAAAATTAACAAATTGATGGAATTTGGTCAAAATCGAGATGATGATGAGAGTTGAGTCGAAGTGGTGAAACGTGTCGGGTATCAGGACGACAAACAGAGATTGAGGGGGGGAAAGAGGAACACAAGAAAGATAAGATGGTGACGGGAAGAAAGAAAACACCAAGAAGACGCGGGAAAAGCAGAAAAAAAGAGAGGGACGCGGAAGGGGAGAAGGGGAAAATGTTGACAAGAGAAGAGAAGAAAGTAGAAATAAGAAAGGGAGAAGAAGAAGAAGAAGAAAAAAAAAGGGAAGAAAAAAGGGAAGAAAGGGGAGAGACAGAGAGAGAGAGAGAGAGAGGGAGCAAGATTGGAATTAAAGCACATTACATAGAAGTACTGGATCATTGCTATTTGATATCGTCAAGGCTCTATACTACTTGGAAATAATGGGGGAATTACTATAGAACTCAGTATATAGGGTTATATCATATAGCTATACCTCTTACAATATTTTCTGTAGAATTTATATTTAAACTTGAAGTCATTGTTGAGTTATTAGAGATCATATCCCATTGTTCTCCCCTGCGGATCGTTTAGCCTAGAACCCGTAAGTTGTACCTGATACAGGAATGCCTTCATTTACCGAATGATCTCGTGTTCTTCAGATCAGATGCTCACTATATTCTGAGGCTTAGATCTGACTTTGGTCTTATTATTTATTTTCTTCTGTAGATAATATGAGTCCAAGTAGTACATGTATTGATCCTACTTGTGTATCCCAATAGAAGCTTATGATAGGTACGACAAATATTATTGACTTCCATCTTCGGTAAAAAAAAAACTTTTTGGTTTCAGACGAAAGGAAAAATAGAAAATATTCTTTTTTTCTATATCAAAGAAACGTGAATGACCCAATTAGTATCCAATTGGTCATCTATAGCATAAGAAAAGATCGATGGCGAGTTGGACAACATATAGATGGCGCGGATCAATGTGAGGAACCCAATTGGTACTAGCACATCCGCCTTCTCCCACTAACCTATTCTGGTTAGACCATTCTGCAGCCCCATTTTAGCTTTGGGAGCCGCATCCATGGATCTCCCCGCGCTGACATAACTTTTTTTTTCTCTCTCTTCACCTTATTTACGCATCATGGCTTTTCGAGGTGAACGCTTCCATTTGGACCTAGATGAGGAATCTGGTGCTCCAGAAATCCCTTCTCCATTCTCTCTTGTCGGTGAGATTCAAGAACGGGCTCCCTCCACCGCCATTCCCCCCGCGCCTAAACTGCCGACCTTGTCGGCGTCATCAACTGGGTTCCCTGCCCCTCGCCAACGCAAGCCATCTTCCTTCAAACAGCGACGAACAAACCAGCCCACTCCTCCGGCTCCTGCCCCTACTGAACCGACCGCCCAAGATGACAAGAAATCCATCGACGAGGAGAACCGCCGGCAGCTGGCGGCCATGTCGGACGCGCAGATCCAACAGGAACGAGAGGAGCTGATGGAACAGATGGATCCAGGCCTTCTAGAACGATTCCTCCGCAGAGCGAACATTGAAGAGGACCAAAAGGCTGATTTTGAACCACCGGCACCCGTGGCCGACGAAAAACCCAAACCGAAGAAATCAGTTTCGTTCGATGTTCCTGCGTCTGCAGCAGTTTCTGCACCAACCGCACAGTCTCATTCTGTACCTAAACCACCAACTAAGCCGCACCCTCGTAATGAAGATCTTGCTCCATCCTCCCTCCCTCAAGACCTCCACCCGGCCTCTGAACGGCCCTCCCTCGACCCAGCTACTATTGAAACCTTCCACTTCCCCCAGCCAACAACGCCGATGCCAGCCCTAGACCCATCTTCACCGTCTTTCCTATCAGATCTCC